GCTGGTTCGGCAGGGGCGGATGGCTCAGGTATTGAGTGTTGTAGAGGGGAGATTGTGGAGATGGGAATTAGTTTAAGTGGTGAGGGCGGTGATTATGATTTTGGTGGGGTTAATGGATGGGATAAGAAGAGAATTACCATTTGTAATGGAGATAAAGTTGGAGCCTGTATATGTAGTGAGTTGTTGAAGATTGTTGAGATCGGTTGTGAGATGAGATGAAGCCCCTGAATCAAGATACCAAGCAGACGAAGGTGTTGATTTTTGTTGGGTAAACATTCTATGAGGAGTAGTCGGAGGTGATGGAGTGTATTGGAGATTGTACCTGTGCCAGCAAGAGATGGTCGAATGACTCAGTTTACTATAGATCTGACATATTGGTCTTGAAGTATTGACCTGAGGATGTCCACGACTTGGTGTGCTGTTGGTTTGATGAAAGGGTCTGCTGAAGCTGCTGCCGAGAAATGATTGAGGGGAAGCAGTGGATAACCCACGTGAAAAGTTGCCTCTGATTGTGTGAAGAGCGAGGTTATCGTGTGGTGAAGTTAAATTTCTGGATGATTTATTTTGTAGGTTGATTTCCTCACTATATAGAAGAGAGAAGAGATCGTCGAGGCTGATTGGAGCTAGAGTTGTTCGAATTGTTGTTTTGAAAGCATGGTATGATGGAGGTAGCCCATTACAACAAAAACAACAAGCCTTTATCCCACTACGTGGTGTCGGCTACATGAATCCTTTTTCTCCATTGTGTCCGATTAAGAGTCAAATTCTCATTTAGATCTGGACATTAAAGATGTATAATAAGATATCTTCTGTATCAATGTGAGAGCTGGGAGTTGCAATGTTGTCCACGAGCGCTTTAATCTAAGCAAGGTATTGGGACATGGTGTTGTTATTCATGTTGATATGATGTAGCTCATTCTTGAGTTGTATGACTCGAGGTCTATTTGAGGTTGTAGGTGTTTTTTAATGGTTGTCCAGATTTCATGGGCGAAATGTAGATTGAGAATGTTGGGAATGATAGAGGGAGATATGGTCGAGTAGATTTTAGAGACCAGATTTTGATTAGTGAGCCTCCATAGATGATAATCTGGGTTGCGGTTCCTCCAGCTGAAGCTGAAATTACTTCGGGTGGACGGGTTTGTCTTTTGGTTAAAAATCTTTCAAATCCATTTGTCGAGAGCAGTTTGTAGATCTGGAGTTTCCATATTGGGTAGTTGTCACTGTTAAGTTGGATGTTAACAATAAGCTTGAGATTTGACATGAGAAACTTTAGAGGAGAAGGTATGGTGAAGTTGGCCATGGATGTGGAGAGAGAGGGAGCCGATTGAGCAAAGGAGGAAGAGCTGTCTTCTGCCATTTTGCTAGTCATTAAGAGCTGTAGAGCTTAGGGCTCTAATACCATGAAGAGAGGAAGATACAGAGAATAACAGAGAAGATAAAAGAATAGTTTCAGCTGAACTGTATTTTCATTACTAGCAAAGGTTTTGACATATTGTTTAGGGTGGTTGTAGATCAGTTCTTGAAGATTGTGCACTTTGTTGCTTGCAAGAGACATTCGATGCCGCCAGCAATGCCAAGTTGTTCTTCTGCGACATTGGTCACCTTCGGGAACTTCCCTGGAGGCTCACTTTCAATTGAGGCACAACATTTATTTGTTATTTTTTACTAGAATTATGGAAGAAACTACAAACTAACATCTGTCTTTGCTCCAAAGATGGAAAAATGGAATTGATAATCAAACTCTTGGAATAATGTTGTGCTTCATTGTAGCCAACCATCCTAAATAGTGGAATGATTCTCTTTGTTAGGCTAAATTCACCTACAATTCGATGACCAAACATTCTTTCGGGCGCAATACATTCAACATCTTTTTACACAAAAAGCGCCCTTCAATGTAACCGAATTAGTTGTTTTGCCTAAATAATAAAAAAAAAATCACCTGAAAACATGATAGAGGAGTTTTCTAAAATACTACAGAATGTTACAAACTAATATGGAAAACTCAAAAAACAACTATAAGCAAGCCATTGATCAATCTTTTAATTGAAGTTAAAAGACTGAGAAGATGTTAAATTGCAGAAGAAGCGTCTATGTTTATAGAAAAAAAGAGATGTTCAGTAATATGGTAATTAAAATGTAAGGGCTAATGATGTGAATCAAAGTAGGAATTGCGATTAGGAATTAAAATGAAAATTATTCAAAGATTTGTCAACACAAATTTTATTACCAACAAAATAAGGGAATAAATCGTTCTAGATCATTAACTTGCTTAGGCGAAGACTTGCTTTGAGATAACCAAACAGTTCATAACATTCAAAGATAAAAAAGAAATACTTAAATGCTCGTCACAAAAATCCCACAATTAATAATAAAGAAGTTCACCTTGAGTACCCTTTTCTCTCTCTCTCGTTCACTCTTGGGCTTTAGCGGAGGAGAAAGAACCATGCGAGGATGAGGAGCACCACTACGATGAAGGCGACGAAAGACTTTGTTACCGGAGAGGTATTCACCGGAGAAGGTGGTGGCGGATGGCGTCCAATGATCGTCCAAGTGTAACCACGAAATTGTCGGTCGAAAATACTTGCGAGGATCGGGATGACTCGCTCCAAGTACTCTTCAATTGTGGCGTCGTCTTCAAATCCTACGTCGAAGCAAGGAGAGCGTAGGATATCGATGCTCCCGTCGGCGTGGAAAACTAGCCCCCACTCAAGCTCCGGATCCGCCATTCAACATTGAGGCAAGGCGGGAAGAAAACAAGGAAAGGGGGTTCGGCTAAGAGCTAGGGAGGAACAAGGAGAAAATCTGAAATTTGAATTTCAGATTTTTCTAGGCTTGAAAGGAGAAGTTATTTTATCATTAAATTCTCCTTCAATCAAATTAAAAAAAAGGGCAGCCATTAGGGAAAGAAATTTAAGGGGTAATTAGTAGACGATGAGGTGGCAAAGAGAGAGAAACGGCTAGGTGTGAGGGCCGGCCAAGCAAGGGAAGAAAGAGAGGGATTTGATTAATTAGTGGGCCCCAAGGTTTTAATTAAAATCTGAGATTTAATTTCAGATTTTAATTAATTAGGGAAGTTTCAAATGAGAGGGGAGGGAAATTCGAATTTGAATTTGGGTCATTAATCCTCATTCAATTATTCACTAATTTGAGGAGTCAAATTATGAAACTAATAAGAGAGAATTGATGGCTGAATTCAAACGTTTCCCTGCACTGAAACCGGCGGGATTAGCCAGGGGAAGAGGAGTGCCGGCTGTAGTGGAGGAGGCGGGTTGGTGCTGGGGCCCGGCGGCTTGTCCAACTAGCGGCAAGAGGGGGACGGGAGGGGAGGCTGCGGGATTGGGGCTTGGGTTTGAGTCGGCTGCAGGGAACGTGAGAGGGAAGAGGGCGGGTCGGGTAGATGGGGATTTGCTGGGCCTGCTGCAAGGGGAGAAAGGGGCGGGTGTAGTGGGGAGGTGGTGGAGAAGGAAGACAACAACAAATCAAAAATAAAAAGCCAAGAGCTCACCAAGGTGGCTGTTGGGTATTTCGGAATGGAGCCTCTCCTAGGCCTTCTTTCTTTCTCTCAAGCTCTCAAGCATGAAGACAAAGGAAAAATCTCAGAATTTTATTAATCAAGCATTAACCTCATACAACAAAAAGAGACCCCTTTATAAAGGTCTCAAAGCATGAGAAGAAAAAGACTCATATGCCCCTTGGGCTACAATAAACACTACGCCTACATAAGAGTGAAATCGTCACTAGTACATGAAATAAAATATACACAAAATAAAATAACATGAAATGACATGATAACATCAAAAATATAAACTCCCGATCGTAGCCGTCGATCTACGATTCCTTCGCCGATAAACCTGCCTAAAATGTCTGTCGATGACCTCATCAGTTAAACTATGCACATTATAAAATGTTACATCTTTTTTTATTGATTTTAATGTACAAACATGTATATATATATACAAGAGTAAAAAATAATAAGAGAAGTATAATAAAGGAGAATATCTTCCATAATCTGGATATACTATGATAATAAATACTATAAATTTCTAATAAATATTAAGCACATGCAATAATATTAATATGATAAACCTGATAATTCTAATAATTTTAAAACATTTCCACGAACTCGCCATGATACAATTGTGAGCATTAAGAGTTTGTTTAGTGCTAGAATCAAGAGATCCAAATCAAGAGGTGTGTAACATTTAAAAGTATTGATTTGAGCCATCTGACACTAGAATGAGACATTCTCCAGGAAAAATAACAACTGATGAGAGAATGATGTTGGGTTAACCTTTGTCGAGATTGAAGATGGTGAAGTTGTCAAAAAAGAAGGGATCTTCATAAGATCCTTACAAGATTATAAAACTGGAGACTAAGGCTTCGTTTGGGATAACTTACGTGCTGCTTTTTAAGATGGCTTTTTAGTTAAAAATTTTCACATTCAAGAAATTTTTGTACTAAAAAGCTGTTTTAGAAAGCAAGAAGAATGCAGGCTTTGTTTGAGACGACTTTCTTATTGTTTCTTAAAGCAGCTTTCTAGTATAAAAATTAACATTTTTGTACTAGAAAGCTTTTTTAAGAAGCAATAAGAAAATTGTCCCAAACGAAGCCTAAGATGAATCATTATTTGTTGAACCAAAACAAGGCTATGAATTGAGACACAAACCTATGAGAGACAAAGACGTCAGGTGCCACGGGCTAGCAACAGTGCAAGCACTCAACGAGCAGTGAAGCAAGTGGCAGCGTGAGAGTAGCAACACAAACAAAGCAGCATGTGATCGATCGAGTAAAGTGCAGGTGAATCACTGGTCGCAACAAAAGATGAAGACAACATTGCAGGATCCCCAGCGTGAGAGTAGCTCCATGCACTATGCCTTATTGTAATCATACAAGTTATTTTTTTTAGGCTAGGCACAAATATAGCTCCTTAATTCACTGCATCTCATACACATCATTATTGTATATTGACATTTTTTATATTGATCATGTGGATTTTGCAGGGCAGATTTATAAGGATCCCTTCCCTGCTCCAGGAAACAATGCCAGAAGAAAGCCAGTAAAGCCATGAGCTCAGATTTGCGCTTCTTAGTTCCATCATTTTGCTCCTATTTTTGGTTTTATTACTTGGAAACTAGGAAGAGGTCTTCATTTCTGAAGAAAACCCAGAGAGAGGCTTGAGCAAAATTTTCAAGTGAAGTGTTGTTACTTTGTAATTCCATGAAGGAGCATTAGGTATCAATTATCAATTGGAAAACAGAATAGCTTTTCGATAATTTGTGATTGTGTTTGATTAATTGTCAATAAAAGCTGGTTAGTACCCTTATGATGTTAGCTTAGTTATATTGTGAAAGTTCTTATTGTATGATGATTGAAGAATTTTCTCCTTAGAGCCAAAGTGGTTGTGCCAATATAAGAGGGATGCAGTCAAATGTAGAGTTCTCTAAGCTGTTATGTTATGGAATTTTAGTTTCTGCACATCAAGTCAGAAAGAAACAAAATAACTAAAAATTGTTACTAAAAATATGAAAATGAAAAAATATGTAAAATAAACTAAAAAATCAAAGTTATCTAAAAATGTTAGGGTAAATATGTTTTTTTTTTTCATTGAAGCATGAACCTAATTGAAGGAATTTTAATGGACTTTGCTCATACTAGTGGCTTGAAAGGCCTCCTTATGGGCAATTTAAAGAAAAAACAAAATATGAAAGAAAATGATAGCTAATTTGAAATGACTAAGCAACAACAATAACATCAAGCTTTTATTTTACTATGTGGGGTTGGCTACATGAATCATTTTTCTCCATTTTATCTTGTTAGGAGTCATATTTTGATTTAAATTTAATAAAAAAGATCATTTCTAACATTTCCTAATCAAGTCTTTTTAGGTGCCTCTACTTCTCTTAATATAGGTCAAATCTAATCCATTTACTCTCCTAATTGGGTTATCAGAAGGCTGATGTTTATGTGACCAAATCATTTAAGACGTCTCTCTCTATTCTTATTTGTCACAGGAACAACAACTTTTTCACGTATATGCTCGTTTCACATTCTATCTCTAAGAGTAAAGTCACTCATACACATAAGCATTATAATATATGCAACATTTAATTGTATGCTTCTCTTTTAATGGTCAATATTATGTTCCACGAAATGACAAGGAAAATGTTTAGATTGGGACTCATGAATGATAACATGCCACTTAAGCACACTCAAAACAATTCATGATCTCTAGAAGGCAAATGTGATTTCAAACATTTAAGCCGAGCAATCCTTTAAAATCAAATTTGTTGAGCCACCAAAATCAGAATTATAGTCAGCACAACAAGTAGAATTAGATGCCAAAACTTTGCTTAAGCCTTAGGCTAAATAATTACCGCATTTCAGGATGAATAATGTTAGTGAGTTGAAAATTTTTTTGTTGAATCTTAAGATTTCATTCTTGATATATTTCAAGAAATTTCACGTGATTAATAAGAATCTTGATGTATAATTTGTGCTAAAAGCCTAAAACTTTCCGAAATTCAATTCATAATTGTCTTAACTCCAATTTCACAAATTATTATAGTCAAAATGAGTATCTTGACAAGATGAACCCAACGAAATCAAAAGCGATATGATTCAAATTGAAATGAGCCCAAATCAAACATTTGAAGTGATGTTAGAAACTTTGGAGCATTGATTAAGGATCAACCGATCTTTAAGTTTTGTATGCTTACGGTCAATTCGATGCTCAGCTAGACAAATACAACAAAAAATAATTAAAAAAAAACTCAATTTTGAGGTTATTAAGGTTCTTAAATGACAAATGATTGGTCTATTATGAAAATATTTAATATAAGTTATCCGATAGAGTGTTACAAATTTTTTGTCAAATTTACCAAATATCTTTCCTAAACTATTATAAATAGACATTCATTCTCTATATGAAGGACACGTAAACTGGATTTTGGAGATCTAAAAAACTATAAATATCTATTTGAAGTTCAACATTGACAATCATTGCTACTCACTGACATGGCTTGACTGTCATTGTTTGACCGTCGTAACTGGAATGTTGTCATCTGATTATTGTTGCCCGATAGTCATCATATGAGCATTGTCACTCAATTGTTACCATTCATTCACTATCAATCCATCGCTATTCACTCGAGAATAATTGCCAATTGTTTTCACTCGGCCACCATCACTGATCATTATCGCCTGACTAATACTATATGCTTGTTGTATCTCCCATACTCTCCCTCACATTCACAAAAATACAAACTTGTATTATATAATTTGTAATTCTATCTTCTCAAATGATAAACTCTTATAACATATTCATATAGTGATTATTTTATTTTAGTAATACCCCACATTTTTTTTTAGTTTTTTCACATAAAAATAGTTGCATCCTGGAGTATTCACGGCGGTAGATAAATGTAAAGTTTAATGTTTTAGCATTGTACGAAGATCCATCACACACACAGATAAAAAGAGATAGGGTCTAGCATTTATGAGACACCAATATTTTTAAGTGAAAAACCCCTGAAAAGGGGGAAAAAACTGCAGGGCCTAGCCCATTTTGAATGAATCAATTAGTATTGCAATTGATTACAAATGAAGCCCTTCCTTGGGGGAATGTCTTAACTTGATGTACATTTTATAGAGTATATTACATGATGAGAATACAAAGAATCATAGTTGATGTGTTTGTTTGGTTTGAAGGACTATAGTCGGTGGACGACGTAAGTCTGAAGGACCATAGTCGGCTGGCAATGGAGGTTGGAATGACTGTAGTCAATGAGTGACGTAAGTCAGAAGGACCATAGTCGGCTGGCGACTGAGGTCAGAAGGACTTTAGTCAGTGGGCGACGTAAGTTAGAAAAATTGTAATCGGCGGGCAACGGAAGTCGAAAGGACTATAGTCTGACGACGAAGGTCAGAAGGATGGCGTCAGGAAGAAGTCCATCAATGGATATAAATCCAACTTCAGATAGATGTCCGACGAAACTTCGACAACGGGTAGAAGTCCAGCGTCGGGTAGAAACTTGACGACAAGCGGAGGCCCGGCATCGGGTAGAAGTTCGACATATATTGGCGGCCAAGGAGAACTCTGGCGTTAGATGGTATTTGGGTAGAACTTCGACGTTACTTGGAGTTCGGGTGAAACTCCGGCCTTACTTGGAGGTCAGGCGGAATTCCGGTGTCAATTGGAGGTCAGGCGGAATTTTGGCGTCACTTGAAAGTCAGACAGAATTCTGGCGTGACTTGGGCAGAATTTCGACATCTCGTGGAAGTCGGGCTGAATTCTGGCGTCACTTGGGCAGAATTTCTGCGGCGGTGGTCGAGGAGGAGTTTCTTCTCTCCTATCCTTCTTCTCATCTCTTCTCCTTCTTCTCTTCCTTCTTGCTTGGGTCCCCTCTCATGAGAAATGAGTGGTCTATTTATAGATATTCTGGAGTGGCATGGCTTGTAAATAGGTGAGAGATCATGGTTAAAGACGGAGTGGTCGGATGGACGACCGACATTGAATCCCTTGATTGTGCATTGTTCGTCAGACATTTGAAGGTCTTAATGATGTCGAAAATCGGCGATCTATGGCTCGTTGGATTCGTCTCGTCGGGCCGCTCAATTCAACTATAAGAACGTCATATTTGAAAACCGTTTGGTAACTAAAATTGTGGTTCAAACTTTCCAACAACGCTTCGGGTTCTTGATTTGGAATCATTTGGCTCGGATTGAGTCAAATTTGTTGTCGTTAGGTTCGTGTTTCCGAGACGCTTAGTTTGATTGTAAATTCATTGAAATCGGAGTTTAGGTGATACCGAATTTAATTTTTGAAGTTTCCGGCTTGATTTTTCCTCGAGATTTGTGCCGATCAAGATAATTTTTTGATGATATATCAAAAATTATAGTGTATTATGTGTTCTTTTATATTATCGTAATGTGTATTAGATTTTCATGATAAAATAGGACTAAAAAATTTTTCTCTATCGTTGTGAATTTTTTGGCTTGTAATAATTCTCAAAACTCCATTTTAAGCAATCATTCTTAGATTTACGTCTTTCAACATTATTTTCAATAGATTTTCAACCAAAAAATCTAAAATTTGGTGAGTAGTCTTTACTATATTTCTCTTGTTAATGAAAAACCCAAATCAAAATTCAACAATATCATTTTGAATAAAATGCCCATGCCTCTTGATACATCACCAAAAAATCACATAGATTGGGCACGAATCTCGATGCAAACATAAATTAGAAGCTTCCAAAATTAAATTCAGGATTATCCGAACTCTAATTTCAACAAACCAATAGTCAAACTGGATGTCTCGAAGAGATGAAGCCAATGACACAAAAAATTGGTCCAATCCAAACTCAAATGGGTCCAAATCGAGGGCCCAAAGCTTATTTAGAAGCTTCAAAACATTAATTGGATGACCAAATGATATCCAAATGTGACATACGTATAATCGAATCGAGCGGCTCGATGAGACAAATCCAACAAGCTCAAGATCACCAAATTCTGACATAATTTAGACACCTAAATGCTCGATAAACTATTCATTATCGGGAGAGTTGATATCAGTCGTCCATTGAGACACTCCCAATATGCCCTTGATCTTCTCCCAACTACGGCCCTTCCGACCATTGTCGCCCGTTGACTATGGTCCCTCTGACCATTGTCATCCGGTGATTATGGGTCCTTTGACCACTGTCACCAGTAGACTACGGTCCCTCTGACTATCATCACCCGACTACGGTCGTTCTGACCACTATCACCCAACTATGATACTTCCAACCACAGTCGCCCAATTATGATCCTTTCGATCATAGTCGCTCGACTACGAACCTTATGATCACTGTCACCCACTGACTACGGTCCCTCTGACCACCATCACTAGCTGACTACAATCTCTCTTATTGTCGTCCACCAACTATGGTCCTACTGACCAAACATACATGTCAACACTATTTTAAAAATAACTACTAAGTAACAAGCTCTATACAATGTGTTGCTACATTGAGCCAGTACCCTCCTCTGAAGAGGGGTATTATTTGTAATCAACCATCAATACTAGTGGATTTATTCAAACTAAGCAAAGCTCCATTGTTTTTCTCATTTTCAGGATTTTTCACATAAAAAACTTAGTGTTTCTTATGAATGTTGCACCCTGCTCTCTGTATGTTTGCTAGATTTTCGTACAAGGTTAGAATGCTAAACTTTATATCTCTTTACCACCCCAAATATTATAGGACGTACTAAGTTGGCGTGTCTGTGAAAAGAGATTTGTGGCTGGGGGGTAACCTTTACCATAACCTCGAAAGGTCATTCACATCAACATCCTGGGCATCGTTGAAGCAACATAGTTCCTTTGTCAAAATTTATTATCAAATATAAAAGAAGCATTTCACTATTAAGGGAAACCTTATGCATTATTTTATCACCTATCCAACATCAGTCATTACTATATCACATTTGAGGAAGTAATTTTGAACTTAGGGGTAACCTTAACAGTAATATCAATGACAATGGCGACCAAGAAAATTCCTCCAACACTTTCAACATCCAAGACAATGTCATTGGCAACCATTTTTCATAAAACTCCCAAAAAATGCAATGATTCTTCAATTAAATTTCAAGCTCTATATAATTCATAGATGAACTTCTACACTTTGTGCAAGGTCTTAATCTCAACCTTGAAAAGGCAAAAATGGCATAGAGGCAGGCCATTATTCAACTTGGATTTAGGATATACATGACTTTAGTATAGCATCTCGAACTCTTAACAATCGATGTATTATCTGCTTTGGCCTAAGAACCTCATAGTTTTATCATGTTAGTGTAACTTTCAAGTAGGTCATCCATTTCAGAATTGCTTCGGGATTAGCATGCTTAGTTGCAAAGTTTCTTAATGAAATTCTAACTATTATACCAAATTGAAAACATGTGAATTTAGTTATGTGTGCTAATTTTTCATATGAAAATCATATATATTTACAACCTCATCATCCAAAAGTATTCAATTTTGATATCCATTAAGATATACTCATTCAATATAAGGTTAAACTACTTCACAATGAGGAGAAACCAGCCTTCTTGGATATCATTAATTGGATCCATCATTTTCTCTAATAATGAGGTAGACATAGTTGGCCAACGAAATGATCATCCTTAAACATGCTCAATCTCCACGCTCCTTCGAAATGGTCATCCTTAAACATCCTTAAATAAATTAACCGTCAAAGATGATGACAGCTTGCAACACCTATAATGCTCCTAATGCAATATTGTTTTTCCCCCAAGCTAACACCTACATGATCAATGCCTCCACATTAAATACAATCACATTATCGACACCCCCCTTTATCCATCCGAAATGAGTTAAACTATAACATTTTATAAACAATTCCCCAAGAAGATAACTTACATTTTAATTTGGATCCAAAGCTAATACTTTTCATTATGTAGCCAAAGATTCTAACCAATTCAATTTAATTGTAGTTGATTGGATGATAAAGGTTACCAGACCCAATAAATGATACTCTCATTGACTAATCCAAATATATTAATCCCTAGTTAGTCTTATCTTTTGCTAGCACCCTTTTGCCTCTAAAGTTTGATAAAATATGCATCTTAAGTGGATCACTATGTCTAATATGAATCATTCTCAAGAAATTAAACTAATTAAGTATCCTTAAAGTGTTGTCCATATAACCAATTTTGACTCATGAACTGAGTGTACTATTTTGAAAGAGTTACTCCTTAGGTTGACAATCAAAACATAATGAATCTATCAACTCTTCAATCTACCTTGATATTTATCAAAAAATTTCAAAGAAAAATGAATACTATGAAATACTCATTACCAGTGATAAATGAAATATATGAATCTTGATTGAAGTAAATGGTGACAACTCTACTAAAATAATAAAGCTTATGTATCTTGTAGCATTAGTGAATGAAATCTTATATAAAGAATCCAAATGATATTCTTGTTGACATCAACCCTTAGCTAGACAGTTAGAGGGGGTCTTAGGGCACCAAATCTTCTTTTTTCAACCCATAGGACATCCATATTAGGGTTTATCTCAAACAACTAAGATTAACAACCTATACCATATTTAACCTTTGTTTATCCTAAAAATGAAATTCCCTCGTTAATATCCTCAATATATACCCAATAGAAGATTAAAATAAAAAAGAAGTGAAACTCCAAATTAAAATATAAATGTATAAAAAAATAAATTATTAATCGCTCAGTATTCATAACAAATCTTGACTTTTAACACTAAGTTAATTAGAGTCCTTAAATTCAAATTAATCCAATCTCACAAATAAGTCAAGACCATATCAAATATCATCATAAAATTTCAACTTAATATTTAGCTCCTAAAAGGGACACAATAAATATACTCTTATTAGCTAATTAACCTAATATAATGACACCATCAGAGCATAATTACAATGAAATTTCTTTAATTAGGTAATTAACCTAAACACATTAATGCCTTTATATTATAATTATGACGAAAATCCTTTCCATTGATGTTTGATATAAATGTGAAGACACAACTATATTATCATTATAACCAATATTCATATATCTCTAATAACTTGTATTTAAATTTATGATTTTCTAGTTCATATGATAGTGAATAAAACACATTATCAACTAGAGTTGGGTTAAAATTGACCTTTGAGTTAGCTATCACCATAAGCCTATAAAATCTTCTATTAATGACCTAATCCTTTATTATTAATAAAGATCTTTAATTCATGTTGAATAAATTATCTCCACTGAGTCAACTCGTTTTGATTTTATGGTTGAAAGCTTTGACTATCAAATAAAATTTTTTGATTATAATTTGTTTCTTAATTAGCCTAAATCTCTAAAAAAAAAACCCACCGGCTAATTGATAAAGATCTATGGGATATATATATATATATATTGCTATCTAAACGATTACAATAAGGCATATAAAATACAGCCCGCTACTTCACTTTCTTATTTCCTTCCTCTGTATTCCTTGTGGCTCTCGTCTCCATCGAGCAATCGATGGCAAATACTCTGGGGATCTCATCGCCGCCATCTTGGTTCCTTCACTCCAGGCTCGAGGCACTCGCAAAACCCTCTTCAACGGCAAGGATATCCTTCCGGCACGTCGGCCCATACACCACTCCGCCGCTCCGCCCTCTCGCAGCTCGGTTATCGGCCGACCTCAACGGGGAAGAAAGGAGTTGTCCGCAAGAGCCTGTACGGACTCTTTTGATCGATAACTACGACAGCTACACCTATAATATTTACCAGGAACTGGCCGTCGTCAATGGAGGTTTGTTTTTTATCGTCCCGTGGGAATTCATTCAAACATAGTGTGATTTTGAATGAGAAGTTGCTTGTTGATTCATATTTTGGAGTGGTTGAATTTTCCGGAAACCGTCTCGCTGCATGAGGGGCGCATGATGATGAATGGTAGATCCAACACATGGAAGTTGGATTTCTGTATGTTTATCGAAAATCGGAATATATGATTATCATAACGTTAGCGCAGTGGCGGAACTCAATAGTATCGATGGTTGGCAATTCCCACCCGTAAAATTAAAGTTAACTTTTAAAAATTGCAATTTTAGAATTTTGACCCCTTCAATTGTTTTATTACCCTAACGCTTTATTAGAAAAAAAAAATGGTTAGCAAAATTTCAAACAATAAGTTACATAATCTCTTAATGATTTATTTAAGCGTAGAAATCGTTACTATAACTTCTCATTGATTTATTTAAGTTCTATAACTTCTTAATAAAAAGTTCTATATTTCTTTCAAAGTTCAGAAATCCACAAAAAAAGAAGGCATACAACTTATAGTAATTATAAGATTATATCATAGACAAATAATGATTTATTAATTTATAACACTTGAATTTAATAAAGCATCAAGAACAAAGCTGACTCGCTTAATGACTGATTAGTACCGTACACTGTGAAAGAAATATTTGATTTGATTTCATTGAATTTATAATACAATATTATCAAAAAATACAAAATAAATTGCAAAGATTTTAATCATTTTTTCAATTCATCAATAAAAATGAAATGCAATACTTTATTTTTTATTTTGTCTTAAAGATCATCTAATTTTTATATTTAATTATTCATGTAATAAGTTTGCCTACCCTCAAAAGATAGGCTAGTTTCGCCCCTGGAGGCAGGTTGGATCAAGTCCACCTCCTTGGGTGCATGAACCCTTCTGCTTCCATAAGGTTATTTGGTGTTGATCCACTTTCATTAGGCATTCAAAGACGAGCTAACTACTACAAGTAGGTGGCAAATTTGATTCTAGAAAAATCATGCATGTGGTTCCTGAGAAAAGATAATTTTATTAAGGGTGAGGGCTGTCCTATTTCATTGTCTAGATACCAGTTGTCAATCTACTAGGCTTGGTCTGTCCATCCAATTTGATATACCAACTTCTTTGTGCGATGTAATTTGGGTTGACCTGTCTTATGTTTGGAAACTCCATTTATCTCAAGGTTTCATTAGACCATTGTCTTAATAGAGTATTCTAATGATGTTAAGGTGTGCCTACTATTTAACTTGACTCAAATTCAAGTCAATGTCTTAGAATGGCCATTTTTCTTGGAACTTTTCAAAGATTCTTCTTGTAAAGTTAAGGTGCTCAAAGGGCTTACTATTGAATGAATCCTAAGTGGGTGTTCCATGATTGTATTATTGAATCTATATTTTAACTTGAGATAGGCCGCAATACATGAGGACTAGAGTAAGTTTATAGCTCAAAGGAGTACAATTAAGTGCAAGTTTCAAGATGAATGACATATTTGATATTTTCAAGTTCGTAGCAATCAAAGTCTAAATTTTAATTAGACAAAAGTTGACTAAAAAATTCACAAAAATTTTGTTCCTTAGCCAAATCAATTAATTGAAAAGCATTGTGCTCAAGTAAAGTATGTTTTTTAATGCAAGGAATATTATTGTTAAAAGAAGATTGTTTCCTATTTGGAAAATCCGTTCTTCTACAACTTGATTTCTCAACATAGTCTTGTAAAGACGTGTTGATTACATGGTGAAAACAAATGGAAACTTGGCCTAGATGAACTAATGGACATGGCATGTAAAGAAAGTACTTGAGTCTTATTTTCAAAGGTGAAGACATTATAAGTAAATTCATTTATTTATCTTTTTAGTCTTACTTTTTTTTTCCTCATTTGTATAGTGCATAAAGAATGGCTATAGTAGTCGAATTAAGAAAATGATAACATTATGTTGAAAATCCCGATTTTTTGTGTGATTTTTTTTGGTTAGAAGACACTACTAGAAGGCTTTCTTTAAATTGCATGCAATTCAATTTTAACATCAGGTCGTCTTAGATATCTAATCTTCTCAGAAAGATCGCAAGTAGAAAGGAGTTTGAATTCTAAATATCATTCATGTGAAAAAAGGTTGAATTTGCTTATGATAAAAATTTGGAGGAAACTAATAAAATTTGAATATCTCCCCTTTAAAGTTTCCCAAAATTCCAACTTCAAACATATAAGAAAAAATCTTCAAAGGTTGTATTAGAATAAATTCCACATTTGCATATCCCTGCATTGAGAATGAGGGAGTGGTAAAGTTAATTTAGGGGGAAGAATGTTGAAGAGAATATATAAGTTGTAAACTCATACTTTTGTTGCTCATTCCATGGATGTATGCCATGTACGTCAACACTTGTACCATGAAGAGAGTGCAACAAAGCTAGGGCAGAAGGAAGATGGGAGGAACATGAAAGAGGAACACTTCAATCCTTTATTACTTGTTTGGCAATGCTGACCTACTTGACATCTTATGCGTATGGAAGAATAACATGGTAAAGAATGTGCAGTAGTCAAGGAAGGAGGAAATAAAGCTTTTATAGGCCTCAAATCTCCTTTAAGGGGTGGGGGGATTTGTTATTGCCATCCTTTTTTGTGGAGGATAGTGTCTTGGTGTAGGCACCCATATCGCTTGCACCCATTTGATCCATGTACTTAGACTACAGACATTCTCACTGCAAACTATGGTCTCATATAACATGTGTTGATCACACTAAAGTTGTGCAATCTATTATGCTTGAATCAATTTATTGGACTAACTCCAGGTTTTGTCCATCATTTTCTTAAATTCTATTTGACCATTTTAAGTTTTATTTTGACTAGGAACTCACTTAGTGAAGTAGTTGTGATTGTAAGAGGACTAACATGATCCATGATTGAAAAAGGATTTTGATGTTGATGTCCTATGAGAAATCACAATCATGAAAAATTTAATTCATTACAAGCTCCTACTAACTAGGCAAAAGGAATTGTATCACTATTGCAAGATTGATAAAGAGAAAATTTTAAAAATAAAGTCCAAAAATTGGGTATTGTTGGATTTTTAAAAAGCTCCATGTAAATTTGCATGACTTCAAATTAGTAGCATAAATCTCAAGGCAACCTTGCACACGGCTACACAATGATTGAGTTAATGTCAGCCCAGTTTGATCCAGCCTAAGATTTTTGTCTTTCCTTGAACCAAGTCCTTTCTTTGCATTTCACATGAGGATGGGGGTGGTGCACCAATCTCCTAACTTCGCTAAACCATCCCCCCCCCCCTAAATGCCGCCTTCAACACTCCAACCCACCCAATTGTTTTTGGCGGCAACCTCAATAAGTTCTTCCCAATTTACACAACTTGAAAAGCATCCAAACTTCTTGAATTATCAAGAAGCCTACAATCGTCATCATTGCTAGTTATTTTTTCAAAGTAATCTTCATAAGAGGAAGAGGAGCCAGTCACACACACACATATATATTAGTTGTTTAAGCTATATATGGGGCATGTTAGTGAGCTAGAAGTTTGAAGCTATGTCGGTTTTGCATTAAAACATACAAGATCAAAAGTGTTTACATGTAATAGGTTGTGATAAGTTATCATGTTATGCTTATTTATTATGGTCTTTAACCATTGAATCACAATCAACATGAAAGCACTTTTACTAGATGCCTGTTTATTCTCATATTTATATTTGCAAGCTAAATGTTTCTTGTTTATTCTTTAAACATAGTTTAATTTATTGAGTTTTGTTTTAGTTCCGCCCGTGGTTATTCGCAATGATGAGTGGACATGGGAGCACATCAAATACGACCTGTATAAAGAAAATGATTTTGATAACATTGTTATATCGCCCGGGCCTGGCTCTCCAACATGCGCGACAGACATAGGTTGGTTTTTGCACTAAGTAATAAACACATCTTGGACATAACACTATGATTTTATAACATCTCCAGTCCTTTTTAATCAATTGACATCTTTTTATTAATTTCATTCTTATATTTCTTTGTAGGGGTATGCTTGCAAGTACTAATTCAATGCAAGGACATTCCGATATTAGGAGTTTGTCTTGGCCACCAGGTGTTTATTTAACCATTTTTGTGTTTAGAAATAAAAACTTAATTATTCTTTGTCCTTGTTGCTTCCACGAGAGAGGGTGGAATGCATCTATAACTAGTATTTCAGATCATAGTTTACCTTGTTGAAATTTAGGCAATATTCTAATTAAAGTAGACCAATGTAGTATTAGTTTTTTGGGGAACTTAACCCAAGTCCCATGGTTGCCACAAATTATTTTTTAGTTCATTGAATTCATTTTTTTTGCCTGTCCAAACTGTGAATCTGATTACTATTGTTTTAAATGTGTTACTAAAATATTAGAAGTTAGAGATCTATTATTTTAGGGGTCATTTAGCATCACTCTTAATTTTAAGATCTTAATTTATTATTATTTTTATGTAAGAACATCGAATAAAAACAGAAAAAATAATTTTTGTTTGACATCATTTTTTCTCTTTTTTGTACGAGATCACTCATTCTCATTCCTGATATGCAACTACTACTCTTCTTATTTCCTCCCTTCCATGGACACAATGACAATGCCACTGCTCTCCCCGAGTATATTATGCACCGCTGCTTCCTCTTTTTTCGGCAAGTCGACGCCCTCACCTTCTACATTATATTAGTAAACTTCTACATGGTTGCAATTGGAGATCAACTTAGCCTTCACATTCTTTCCTACCCTTACATCCTCTTCCCATCCTAAATTGCCGTTCCTCTCCTCTATCCCTCTTGATCCATTGAATCCCATCTTTGATGCCAGCTATGATCATTGATGGTTGAAGATGGGAATTGGGTACAAGTCAAGTATATATGAGAATAAAAAACTATTTTAAAAATATCTAAAAAATCTAAAATTTGTTTTGAGTGTTCTTAAGAACAAATCAAGTTGTTTCTTACATCGAAAAGTAAAAACATCTTAACAAATTTTGTTATTCTCTCATTAACATATTAAAAATATAAAAATAAAATAAAAAGTAATGCCTAATGGGCCCTTAGGAACCATATTCAAAATAACAGTAATAAGATCTATTATTTTAGTAATCACACTAGACTTGTTATTATTTTTTTTAATTCAATATCCTAAAAAGTAATTTGTGGTCGACCATAGGACCCTTGAACAATACATCTTATCTTATTTTTGCCAACAAAATTGTCTTAAATAAACGATTTCATGCAGGGCAACTTCTTATGTTTGGTTCTGGGTAAAATTTTTCTCTTGAAAAACTTTAAACTAAATGCATTCTGCAACAGTTAGTCCGCAAGGGTTTCATTTACAATTTACACAGTAAGAACTTTAGTACCAACCATTTCAAGCACCTGTGAAATATTTTGTTCTCTCTTAGTCTTGGTTGAATTAGAAAAACTAGAGTTATGTCCTGGGCAATGACCATTATTTTAAAAAGGTTACCAACTTTTAAGTTTTACTGCTATTAGAAATATGCGATCCATAGTGGAGCTACAAAAATTTCAATTTATTTCCCATTTTATTCAGCAAAGTGCTAATTAGACTTAAGATATGCATTCATGTGAATAATTGTGAAAATTTGTTATTTTTTGTCATGCTTGGAAAAATTAGGAAGATAAATCAAAGTATGATTATATTAAGCGATGGGTGTAGTGATTTCTATTAAAGATATGTAGTTCAAAATAAATTTGTAGTTTAAACATGTATAATAAATGGTAGAAGATGCACGCATTAAATATATTATTCATACATAAAATTAGTTTTGAAGGACTAGGAAAAAATAATAGATCTAGGGAAATATGTATGGAAGTTGCTCAAAAAATTTGCAAAGAACATGTTTAGCTTCTTAGACAAAGCTTAACATGATTGAATGAAAAATGTGAATTCATAAGGCCTCCCTAATATAGTTGGGATAAGGTTAGTCATGATAATATTTATAAAAAAAAAGTCCTTTTTGTTGGTAAAATACTAAGTGCATGAATCGTTCTCCATTTAATGCTCATCCCTGTTTTGCTAAGGTCCATAGCTTAAATGCAAAAAATGTGATTTAGAGAAACTGATTGAAATCCATTAGTTAAGGGTGCATTAGAAGAGTTAATAGTAATGCAGGGAAAAGTTATAGATTTTGCTGGAAAATTTTGTGTCATCTATGTCATAAACAAATTACAACTTTTGATAAAAAAAACTATAAGATACATTCACGATGGCTTTGAAAATAGAGAATTCTATGTTAGACTGATCCACCGGATCGGTCCAGCCGGTCCCCACGGGACCGGCAAAATCGCGAACAGGCGGGATCTTCGCCTCCTGCAGAGATCGGGCGAGCCGACCGTTCAAACAGAGCATTTTAGGAAGGATTTTTGGGGGGTTTAAGAGAGAAATTGAATGTAGGGACTGTTTAGGGATTTCCTTTTGATTTGTATGCATTAAATAGTTGTTTTTCCTAGGGTTTGATCATCTTGAATTTGGCTGAAATTTGAGATCTCGTAGATTTAGGTTTCTTTGGGCTCTAGCGGCGTCTAGAGATTTGGGAGAGATCGATCCTCCTCTCGAATTGAGGATCAATTATATCTTTACTGTTTTATTCATCGTTTATTGGAATACAAGTCTTTTTCTTGGTTTTCTCTCAGAATAGTGCTGTTTTTCTGCTGTCAACAGCAGATTTCTGCTGTTTTTCTGTTCTGGACAGCAACTTTGTCACTGTTGGATCTCCGATTTGGGTTAGGATTGCTTGCGAACTCAAGTATTACCTTAGGGTTACTTGCGAACTCAAGTATTTCCTATCATTTTAGTAAGTCATGTTGGGTGAATAACATTCATATTATTTTAGCTTGTTTAATAGTTCGAGCTTTGATAATAGAACTTTCAAATTAAGACAAGCTCGCATAAGGACCAAGGCCAATATTCAGTCGAGTTTGAGTAAATTTGATCCAACTTGAAATTTGAAAATTTTGATTTCACCTCAACTCAAATTCGACTTGAAATCACAATCATTTTAAGTTGAGTTGACTTGACTCAACATGATTTGATTTCAGCTCAACTCAATCAATTTTGAGTTGGCTGAAATTAATTTTATAAATATAAATATTATATTGTATTTTATACATGTATTATATCATACATACTAAGTATTTTATGGAATACCCATTTCGATCTATATGTTGAGTTTACTTAAATTGTATTATTTTGAGCTTAGGAAAACTTGGAATCTACTAAAAATCATTTTCTAATTTGGATTGAAGCTCGTAATCTACTTGAAATTCATTTGAGTTAGTATCGAGTCAAGTCAAATTCAAGTAATTGTTGAATTTTTTCTAGCATTAATGAGAACAATTTTAATTTTTATGGAATTAATAAGTATGTCTTTACGACAAAAAAGATGTTTTGTTGTCATAAAAAACTTTTTAGTTAGAGGATATCAATTACTGGTTCGAAACTTGTAATATGAATGGTAATCTTCTTGGAAAGCAACATCTTGATTGAAGTGACAATAAACTTCAATATGATTCATTTGTTCATGAAATATATGGTTATTGGTAATGTAGGCGGTGGCATGATTATTGCAGTACAATATTATAAATTGATTTACTAGAAAATCCAATTCCCTTAAAAGAATCTTTAACCACATCATTTTACTTTATGTGGTATATAACTCCATTTTTAGTCTCAACATTGGATGTTGTTGCAACAGTTTATTTCTTTTTATTTCAATTGATCAAGTTATCTCAAAGATATATAATATATGATGGTTGACTTCCTATCTTCAACTAGGCTAATATAATCGAGACATGATAATGTTTAACATTTAGGTACTCAGTCTTAGGATATAATATTGCTTTTCAAGACATTTTGTGATGTGAAACCAAATGCACAGGAGCTCATTAAGAATTTTAAGAGTAATTGGCAATGTAATCCCAATCAATAACTTATTGTAATAACAAGCAATTTTATTAAAGAATCTTGGTTTTCCACTTTCTTAGGCGAAGGAGTACATGTAGATTAACCAAATCTCGTAGATAAATAAAAATAGTAGCAATACTAAGAGCTTTTAATCAACAATCCACGATTTAATAATGAAAGTTTTCACCTCGGGGGTCGATCACTCGGCTACACTAGGCTTTGGCCAGAGAAGATCTTCCACGCTAGAATCAAAATCACCACTAGGAAGAAGGTGCCAGAGGTCTTTGTCCACGGGAAAGTAGCCGGAGTTGGTGGAGGTGGCGGATGACTGACGATGATCCAACGACTTGGTGGATGATGTTCTTCGATTGATAACACGAGTTAATATCGGATGCGGTCTATGTATCCTTCCACGGTCTCGTCGTGTCCAAGTTGTACGTCAAAGAATGGGGATGCGAGGATGTTCGTCCATCCTTGTTCGTCGAAGATGAAGCCGTGGTCGATCATCGGCCATACACCATTGATGTTAGGAGACGAGAGCGCAAGGGAGCCTCAAAGAAGAGCAAAGTGAGGTGGAGGGGGTGGCGGTTTGCGTAAGAGGAAGATGGGTGGGGGGTCGGCTAGGAGAGATGGTGGAGATGGCTAGGGTTTGGAAGAAATTAGATTGGGTTGTGGTGTTGGGGGGATTTAGACAAAATTTGAAATTAATTTTAGATTTGAGTGAATTTGGAGGGAAGTTGATTTGAATTTCAAATCAATTGTAATCAATGCAATAACTTAGCATTAATTGGAATCCATCCCAAGCATGGCTGGCGGCATAGAGAGAGAGAGGGGGGTGATTGGGGAAGGATTTAGGGAGTTTCCAAAGAGGGATTGTGGATTAGGAAAGTTATTATTAAATCCAATTTATTTGAAATTTAAATTAAGATCATGAATAAAAACTTTCATAAATAGGAATTCCAAAATTGGAAAGAATTTGAAATTCAAAATTTGAATTTCAAATTTGAATTAAATCCTTTCTAATTTCTTGTAGGGCAAAGAAGGAAATTCATGATGGCATTGAGATCACCATCAAGAGGGGTAAATGATGGGGTGGCCGGCGGCATGGCTAGTGGGATTGGAAGTGGCGCCGGGTTAGGTGGGGGTGAGGGAA